TCTATGGTTAAGAGATTGGTTCTTGGTTTGTCTTTTTTTCTGTTTGCTTGTTTTCTTAAATGCCACGTATGAGTGAGATCTTACGGTATTTGTCTTTTTCTGACTTATTCAGCTTAGCATTACCCTCTAGATCCATCCATGTTGTTCCAAATGACAAGATTTCATTTTTTATGGCTGAGTAATATTCCATTGTGTGTCTGTGTGTACCACCTTTTCTTTATCCAGTCATCTATTGGTGGATGTTTGGATTGCTTCCATATTTTGGCTACTGAAAATAATGCTGCAGTAAACATAGGGGTGCATATATCTTTTCAAATAAGTGTTTTCATATTCTCTGGGTAAATACCTAATACTGGAATTACTGTATCATAAGGTAATTTTATTTTTAACTTTTTGAGGAACTTCCATACTGTTAACCAGAGTGGCTGTACCAGTTTGCATTCCCACCAACAGTGCAAGATTGTTCCTTTTCTCCATAACTTTGCCAACACTTGTTTCTTTTATTTTCAATTTTAGCCATTCTGACAGATGTGAGGTGATAGCTCATTGTGGTTTTGATTTGCATTTCCCTGATCATAAGTGATGTTGAGCATCTTTTCATGCCATCTGTTGGCCATCTGGATGTCTTTGGAGAAGTGCCTGTTCATGTCTTCTGACCATTTTTTATTGGACTATTTGTGGGGGTTCTTGGCATTTAGTTGTATAAGTTCTTTATCTATTTTGGGTACTGACCCCTTATGATGTCATTTGCAAATATCTTCTCCCATCTGTAAGTTGTCTTTTTGTTTCCTTTGTTGTGCAGAAGCTTTTAATTCTGATGTAGTCCCAACAGTTTACTTTTGCTTGTTTTCTTCGCCTCAGGAGACATATCTAGAAAAATGCTGCTATGGCCAATGTCAGAGAATTATTACCTGTGCTCTCTTCTAGGATTTTTATGGTTTCAGGTCTCACTCATTTCCACATTTTTAAAAAATACTTTATTTATTTATTTGACAGAGATCACAAGTAGGCAGAGAGGCAGGCAGAGAGAGAGAGAGAGAAAGGAGGAAGCAGGCTCCCTGCCGAGCAGAGAGCCCGACGCGGGACTTGATCCCAGGACCCTGGAAACATGACCAGAGCCGAAGGCAGAGGCTTTAACCCACTGAGCCACCCAGGCGCCCATTTCCACATCTTTAAGGGACTTGTGTGGCTTCTTCTTAATGCTCAGTTTTAAGCTTGTCTGCGGACTACTTTTTGGGAGTTGAGGCCATGTCTACACTATGCATGTGCACCCTTCCTACTCTCCAGCTTCCCAGAGATTGGACCACTTGTTGGTGAACGGCAACATTCTATGTTTAAGCTAAGCTACACAGTAAAATTATGATTACTTATCCTTTTATGTAGATTTTTTTTTCTTTTCCTTGGAATTATCTTTTTTGGGTTGTTGTTTAGTTTTCTATATAGTCGTCACTTATTCAGCTCCACACTCTATCATATGTTTAAACAGATCCCCATAATATTAAGGTGCCTCAGGTAACTTATTGATTAAATACCCCTGAATTCTTTCCCAGAGCCTCTGGGTTCCAATCTGGACTGATGACCCTTTTGTGTGCCATTTGATAAACCCTTATTGACTCAAACACTTGCTACACATTGTGTTAGCCCTGGCAAAACAAAGGGATCAGGCAGGGGTCAGTCAGTAGAGCATGAGTCAGCTGGCTCAGTCAGTAGAGCATGCAACTTTTGATCTCGGGGTTGTCAGTTTGAGCCCCACACTGGGTGTAGAGATTACTTAAAAAAAAAAATCTTAAACAAATGAAACAAACCCCCACAAATGATCAGGCAGTGCTAACGACTGCCTCATAGAATTACCTATTTAATGAACAATCCAGGAAACAAACAAACCAACCCTATGCGGATTGTTTGCTATTCCTCATTATTTTCTGGGGTCCAGAGCTAAGGCCTGCCTGTCAAAACATGGCACCAAGTACGTGTCTCCTGAGTACTTCCTGCTCACCAGTCTCCTTCCTGGCCAAAGTTCTCAGCCTATAAATTAGGGCTGAACAATGGGAACTATATGAACACTTTCCCAACTTTTCTCAACTGGCCCTTGTCTCATTACCTGAAGCTAGAGTAGGCATTTCTTAGTCCAGCCCCATCTGCCCCGTGGCTAGTTGAGGTTCTGGACTTAGATTCTTTTTTTTTTTTTTTTTAAGATTTTATTTATTTGACAGACAGAGATCGCAAGTAGGCAGAGAGGCAGGCAGAGAGAGAGGAGGAAGCAGGCTCCCTGCTGGGCAGAGAGCCCAATGTGGGGCTCGATCCCAGCACCCTGGGATCATGACCCGAGCTGAAGGCAGAGGCTTAAACCACTGAGCCACCCAGGCACCCCTGGACTTAGATTCTACTGTTAAGCTGTCTTGTGTGGGGAGCAGTGGGTGAGGCTGGGTGAACACTGTGATGAGAACAGGTCAGGGATCCTAGGAATATATGAATGTCCTCCTTGGAGACATGCGGGACCTCAAACCCCATGCACAGCAGTAGTAAGACTACCCAGAATAAACGTGCCAGCATCAAACCATCAAAGGAAACAAGTCAGGGATAGAGAGTGAGAAACACACCACACACACAGTGAGGGAAAGAGGGGTAATTTATCCCAATGTCTAAGGAGGAGCTGGCTCGGGTTATTGAGTATTTTCTGGCCAACTACAGCTCTCTGAAAGATGTAAGAGCAGCAGACAGGGCTAGGGCTATGGACCAAGAAAATGAAAAGCCCACACCTGTGTACTTGGGGCCTGTAATACCCTTAACATGTAGTCCAGTCATATTTGGAAGATGACTCAACCTTGGGGTTGGTAGTAAAGTTTTCTTACCTCAGGAACTTCATCATGGGGAGTTGCCAAGGAGCAAGACTTAAGGAGAGGAGCCAAGAGTGCCCCCTTGAGGCCAATAATGTTGGCTTTAACTGTTGATAGTGGACCCACTCCACACCACCTTCCCAACCAGAATTCAGGAGTATTTCAGTGAGAAACTGGGAAAGGGCTGTGTGCGAGGGTTCATGGTCAATAAAAATAAAACTGACACTGTAGGTTAAAAGCACCCAAGCTCCCCAACAGGTAAAGATGAAGACTATGTTAACAGCTCAGCTTGGCCTAACTCTCTAATGACTGGCCGGAACAATCCTTTGGGACACAAAATGCATTGTGATTTATGGGTAACACACACTGCCTTCTTCGTACACTCGCCCATGCCTTCTTCGTACACTCGCCCACCCCACACTGCACCTGCTGATGGTCACTGAAGGCCTCTGCTGGAGGAGGGCAGCAACACAAGCTACCCTCTCAGAGAAGAAAAGTGGTTGAGGAGGCTGAAGCCTAACCTCCAGGAGAAAGGAGGGCAAGTGGGTTCTCAGACTAGCAAGAAGCAATTCCAGAATGAATCCCCACGACAGGTTGCAGCCAGGAGTAATGGTTCAGCCTGGGCCTGCCTTTCCCGTACCCATGCAAGAAAAAATAAAAGAAGAGGCCCAACATCCTGCCTGGCGCAGGACAAAAGCACTTACAGAGCAAGGTCCTGGTACTGGGGCTCATGGAAAGCAGGAGAGCAGAGCCTGGCCACAGGTGTGGCAGCACAAGGTACTGACTCTGTGGCTTCTGCCTGATGCTCAGCCTGGACTGATGTGGGCAGCGTGGGGGGAACCATCCTGAGCACTGTGGGGGAAGAACAGGTTCCGGGAGAGGTACTAGGATTGCCTGTGAGGCCAATGCCTGGGACCTGCAGGCAGCACCTGGCCAAGGAAAACTGCAGTTGGGAGAATTCTCAGCACACCTCCCCCATGCATGGCTTTGATTTTGTACCCTACTCATGCAGGGCCCAGTGGCCTGGGAACTACCATTAAAATGTGAAAGCAAGTCTGTAGAACCAACTGGAGAGGCTAACAGCTTCTCCCCAGGGCATCAGTAGTAACATTCCCAAGCAGGTGTGTTCTGGGGCTGGGGGCAGGGAGCTGGTGGCCAGCTGTCACCTGTGGCTTCCCAAGCCCTGAATCTAAATGCTCTGGGAAGGTGCCTGGATGACACAGCCCAGGGCCTGAAGAGAATCACACTCATCATTCCTAAGCAGGCTCCATCCTGTCCTGGTTTCCGTGCAGACCCAGGTTTCCAGACAACTATCACTTTCTGTTTGTATTCTGGATAATAACTCTGACAAGACAGAAGACAGTCAGCATCTGAGGGCTGAAGGTGGGGGGCGGTTTATGGGGTTATTAACCCTTTTATAGGTGAACTGGCCCAGAGTGCGTAATTATCTTGTTTAGCATAAAAGGGAAAAACTAGGGAGTAAACTTCACATACCAAATGTTTTCTCTGAGTCTTCTTCATAGCCTCCTTCTGGGTAAGGAAAGGAGCCTTGGTGGCGCCCTCGGAGCTGCTCAGTGGCAGGACTGCTGTTTAACTTGGCCTCTGAGGAAGGCTTTGGGGAGGCTGGGGCTTCCCTGAATTTTGAAGGAGGCCGATCAGCACCTTCCCCCCTCAACTCTGGGCTTTAGCTGTCATTCTAGACTACAGGATTCATTAAATGCTTTATGTACATGATTACTTTTATTAACTCATGCTTTTCAGAAGTGGTTATCCAGGTTATAAATGTTGGTTCCATGTGTGATAACAAAGGCTCTGAGGCTTCAATCCTGAAGAGAGGGTGGCTGGAGGAAAATCCACCAAAGGCTAGAGGCCAATGGGAAGTTGGAATGAGGCTAAGAGGAGGCTCTTGACCCAAGTCTGCTGGGAGTGTCTGGGCCTGCCCAATAGCTACTCTAACCAGACCCCATATCCAGGAAGCCCACGGCAGAGCTATCGTCAAGTTCTTCCATGTTTGTGAAAAAAGGCCACATTTCATTCGCACAGCCCATTTCCCTTGACGGATGTTTTTAGACTGAGGCTCCCCATACACCTTAGGAGAGACATCACATAGCTCCCTGCACATCTCCAGATGGTAAAGAAATGACCCTCTGCTGCTTGCTTTACTATGAACCAATCAGAAGTTATTTATTTTCTAAAAGTATAAAAACACATACAAAAAGGGACTTACTCGTGGCTAGAATTCAGAAATGGTATCACTGTGACAAACATTCCTGTGGGCAAGGCCGCTGTGGAGAAAATATTGCTCCCAAACCATTAATAATCCTAATCACCATTCTCCTCAGACTCTTTAGAAGGTTACTACTTCTAAATTAAACATAGACAAAGAGTTAAGTTTTATTAAACCAGACTCATAAAAGTAAGGATTGTGCTTCTTCATGTTGATAAAATATAATTCCAGGACTGTGAGGAAAATAATCTCCTATCAGTTCCAGGGAACTTTTCTCCCCAAGAGCTGATTGGTCACTTTCTGTGGAAGAAAAGAAAGACAGGAAAAAAGTCAGATACTCTTGCCATCAGAGGGAGACAGTCACTCCTCACCCTAGACATGTCACTGAAGAGACCAGTGGGGTTCTCCCAAATCTTATTTATCTTCCCCAGTTACAGAAACTATGGTAATTATGCAAAAAAATTCTTCCTGAAGTGTTTAGGAAAGATGATCTATATAGTTAGTATCTATTACTTCTGTACAGATACAGATCATTTATGATCCATCCATCCATCAGTTCAAACATACGAGCACAACAAGAGGCCTGGCCTGTGATGCTGACCCACTGGACAGGCCATGTGGTGCCTGGGGGCCCCCTCTTCGAAGGGCCCGGCCCAGCCCAGCTCCGGGTGTGCTCCAGAAGCAGTTCTCCAATCCCACATCGGTCTGGTATAAACACGTCTTTTGGATTCTGACTTTCAGAGTCCTCTGGTGGTGAAGTGAAGGGGTTGGGAAGGAAATGAGAACAGTGAAGGATATGGACCTTCAGGCATGGTCGCCTGCCTGGCTTCTCAAGGAATATACTGGTGGCAAGTTCCCTGGCCTTGGGAGGGTCTGGGACTTGTGGCACCACTGATTCGCCTGGGCCACGGGCTGGAAATGGTGGCAGTTTCGAGGCTCTGAGTCCCCAGGCTGCCAACTCTTATGCTACACTCGGACGTTTTCCAGTTTATTTTACAAGCTCTAGAAGTATCTGACTTACCAGTAAGGGGCACAGAACTACCATTTGGGACTCTAGAATGAAAAGCCAAGAATTCTGACAGATTTGGACATTTCCACCATGACTCTTAAGTACAGAATTTGGTTTTGTTCCAAATGTATGCTTGGAGGGTGCCTTTTCTAGATTTGCCTTTCAGATTTTGAGATTTGAAATCTAGTCATGAGTGCCTTTATCTTCCAAATTCCAGGTGTGGTACAATGCATTACAAGCTTAAGTTTACTCCCCAGATATAGTTAATTCAAATAGGTCAGATGAGTTTCTCTCAACTTCTCTTTCCCCTGATAAACCTGATGGATCCTGCCCAAGGACTGACTGACCTTCTTGAAGAGCTGAGCTCGCAGGCGGTATGACTTGTATTCCAATCTCCTCTTCTCCTCATCTCTCTTTCTCTGAACTTCTGGAAGCTGCTCATAAATCCTTAGGAATGGTGCCAGTAGGAAAACAAAAAGCAGTGAGGTTACCCAACCACACAGCAACATGATCTCTTCTCCCCCTTGTCCCTAAGGTCTGCTAATCTCAGGGCATTCAGATCTCAAACACAGGCCCCAGGCCTCTGTCTGGGCCTGCTTCTTGTCAGACATTTGGACACAAAGAACAATGGCTGGGTTCCTCATGATCTGGGAGGGCAGACAGATGAATAAAAACATTAAGAAATCCTGCTCAGGAATCCATCAAAATCCTAGAGGAGAACATAGGCAGTAACCTCTTTGATATCAGCCACAGCAACTTCTTTCAAGATATGTCTCCAAAGGCAAAGGAAACAAAAGCGAAAATGAACTTTTGGGACTTCATCAAGATAAAAAGCTTCTGCACACCAAAGGAAACAGTCAACAAAACAAAGAGACAACCCACGGAATGGGAGAAGATATTTGCAAATGACAGTACAGACAAAAGATTGATATCCAGGATCTATAAAGAACTCCTTAAACTCAACACACACAAAACAGATAATCATATCAAAAAATGGGCAGAAGATATGAACAGACACTTCTCCAATGAAGACATACTAATGGCTATCAGACACATGAAAAAATGTTCATCATCACTAGCCATCGGGGAGATTCAAATTAAAACCACATTGAGATACCACCTTACGCCAGTTAGAATGGCCAAAATTAGCAAGACAGGAAACAACGTGTGTTGGAGAGGATGTGGAGAAAGGGGAACCCTCCCACACTGTTGGTGGGAATGCAAGTTGGTGCAGCCACTTTGGAAAACAGTGGAGATTCCTCAAGAAATTAAAAATAGAGCTTCCCTATGACCCTGCCATTGCACTACTGGGTATTTACCCCAAAGATACAGATGTAGTGAAAAGAAGGGCCATCTGTACCCCAATGTTTATAGCAGCAATGGTCACGGTCGCCAAACTGTGGAAAGAACCAAGATGCCCTTCAACAGAAGAATGGATAAGGAAGATGTGGTCCATATACACTATGGAGTATTATGCCTCCATCAGAAAGGATGAATACCCAACTTTTGTAGCAACATGGACGGGACTGGAAGAGATTTTGCTGAGTGAAATAAGTCAAGCAGAGAGAGTCAATTATCGTATGGTTTCACTTATTTGTGGAGCATAACAAATAACATGGAGGACATAGGGAGATGGAGAGGAGAACGGAGTTGAGGGAAATTGGAAGGGGAGGTGAACCATGAGAGACTACGGACTCTGAAAAACAATCTGAGGGTTTTGAAGGGGCGGGGGGTGGGCGGTTGGGGGAGCCGGGTAGTGGGTATTATGGAGGGCACATATTGCATGCAGCACTGGGTGTGGTGCAAAAACAATGAATTCTGTTATGCTGAAAAGAAATTAAAAAAAAAAAAAAAAGAAAAAAAAGAAAAATCCTGCTCAGAGCCATAAAAAAAAAAGAAATCTTGCAATTTAAAATGACATGGATGGAAACTAGAGGGTATTATACTAAGTGAAATAAGTCAATCATAGAAAGACAATTAACATATGATCTCACGGATATGAAGAATTTGAGAAACAAGGGAGCCGGACAAGGGGCTCGATCCCAGGACCCCGAGATCATGACCCAAGCCAAAGGCAGACACTCAACCAACTGAGCCACCCAGATGCCCCAAATTTGACTTTTTGTAAAGCTTAATTTAATATGTCTTAGTATTTTATTATTTCTCACTGTATTGCATAAATTCCTAGAAATGTGATTGTGTGGATAAAAGGGTAGTGCCCCAAATAAACAACTTATTTCAAAATAGTCATATCTTATATTTTAGGTTTATTTTTTTGTTTATTTATTTATTTTTAGGTATCCTTATTTATATTTAGGTTTCTAACAAAGACAAGCCTGACTAAGGCATGCAAATTAGAGGGAATTCTTTGTATCTTTCTTATCTGACTCATTCATACCACAAATCTGCTATTTTTCTTTCCTTTTTTAGTGCTATCAGTAAGAAACTTCTTTCACAACTAATTTTCTCATAACATTTTAACTTGAGCATATGTCTTTATTCCAGGGACAAACCAGAGCTCCTAATCAGTTGGTGGCCTTACTTATACTTTCGTAATTACTCTTATTCTTTTAGCCTTACCGTTTAGACCTCTGAATCATTTCCTTCTTCCCAATAGGTCTGTTCTTTCGGGCATCCAGGAAGCCTAAGCATGAGAAGAAGGGGTTTTCAGGAGATAGCGTCTTAATAGGGAAGGGTGTGTTGCTCAAGGGCTGTGAGAGGAAGCTGCTAGGACCTGATGCCCCTACCTTGAGCTGACAGTACTGGGTGGTGAGCAGTGGCCAAGGCTAAGGCCAAGGTTAGACTACGGGGGCTATGACAGCAGGTTCCTGAAGACACAACATGCTGTGGCACAGACTAGGCAGTGTGAACAGAAACATTGGCCAGTTTATAGGTAAGGCTGCGATGAAAGCATTAGGTAGCACTTGTAGTTTTCACAGTGCTCATACATTATTTTCTGGAGATCTTACACCTAACAGAATCGTTAGGAGTGCAGAGTCTAAAGCGAGCCCATCAGGGTTCAAATACCAGCTTATCAGGTGTATACTCTTGGACAGAGGACTTAAGCTCTCATTGTCTGTTTTCCCATCTGTAAACCAGGGTTATTAATAGTATCTATCTCAGGGAGGTGTTACAAGCATAAAATAAGAACAGTGTCTGGGCAAAACATGTGAAGGTTACATATCATCATCATCATCATCATAACCCCCTCCCCCCCCCATGAATTTGGCAATCCTGGAACTTGCTCACGGACCCACAGCTGGCTTAAAAAAATACCATTCTCACTGTACACTTTGGTTTCTGAGATGCAGTGACAGGGCAGGAGGACCTGGGGCTTATGTGGATCATGAGAGCGCAGAGAGCCACACAGGGCAGGTTTTGCTGCCCGGGGAGAGTGGAGACTCAGCAAGCTAAGAGTCCCTTTCTGTCCCTGTAACTGGGCTGGCACTGAGACACGCTCCCCAGGGGAAGCAGCCATGATAGGAAAGTGAAGAGGCAGAGGGTACCTCTTTTCAGAAGCGGGCGCACAGGGTCCTGGCCCTGCCGTTCTCTCACAGCGTTGAACAGGGCCTCCCGCTCGCTCTGCAACATGTTCTGCAGCTTCCTCTCCTGGACTATCAGCTTCAGACGCTTTATCCGCTCCCCAGAGCGGGAGATGAAGTCAGGTCTGTGAAACTGAAGGGATTCCTGAGGGGGAGAAAAGGATCCCTGACCTCACATGAATGATGCAGTCTGTTCTCTAAGGGCTTGCAAAAAAGCACCAGCCCCACAGTGGTTTGAAGAGCCTGTTTCTACAGTGCAGAAACTATCTAGAGCCGAAGAATAATCTAACAACTCCCGGGGTGGGGGGGTGGGTGGCGGTGCGGGGTGGCGGCAGGCCATTGGAGGGGTCAAAGAGCGCCTCTGCAACGAGCCGAGAACTACGACCTTGGCAACTGCAACTCTTCTAGATGTCGCTTAGCCCACTGTGCTATTTTAAATGTCCCTTCCAACAAATACATTATTAAATGACATTTCTTTCAGCTCCCAAGGTACATGTAAAGAAGGGACTTTGTGCCTTTTCAATCCCGTGCTAGGCAGGAACAGGAGTTCTGTAAACGGAGGAACACATGTAAGGCTGACAATAGTAACAGGCCTCCGGAGTGCACCACGTGCAGGAACCCACGAACCCCATGAGCAGCATCACAACACCCTCCCTTCCCTTGCCTTGTCCCCAGGTGAGGGGGCAACGCCCAGTCTGCAACGGTTAACAGTAAGGCAGCCTCTGATTAACGATGAGAATAGGGACAGATGAACTGCGGGAGCGGGTGGCTAGAAATGAGGGTTACATGACTGATCTTCAGAAGGCCAAGTCACAGTCTTAGCTTCTTTGTATGTCCCCCTTTGACCCCTTTAAACCTACAGCTAAAATTAACTCGTATCACTGCACCTGTAGCGTTGCTCTCACAAACGGCCTCGGTGGCTCTCTGCCTGGGCCGGCTAGTGCCCCGTGGCTGTCCATGTGCTGTCCCTGCCAGTTCTGTTCCCGCAGCGGTTCCCTCCATGGTTTGGTGTTGGTTATTGGTGCAAACCAGCAGATACCAGGGCCATGATGCTTGGGCAGGTTTTCCTTAGGACCGGACTTCACATTTTCCATGGGAACAAACCATGAAACTCCTATGGGGAATATTTTTAAAAAAGAAAAGAGATTTCCCATTGTGCTCATCAAAGACATGTGTGTAATATAGGCTCTTGGGGGCTCAGCTGTCAGAGGCCACCAGGATACTCTGGAGTTGGCTGAACTACCAGCATGACTGTAATTTTAGTACTAGAAGGTGTGCCAAGGTATTGTTTGGGGAGATGGGGTCAACAGAGTCATTTAGAAATAAAGAATCTTAGCATTGTGAGAGACTGGAAATTCATTAGTTCTTTGGCTACAAAACTGGAATTAGAAACTGACCTTCATAGAAGCTGTGCTTGTTCTTCCTTAACTTTTTGTCCCCAAGATAGTTGGCAAGAAGTCTTTTCTCTGCTATTTTTTCTTCTGACCAAGAAGTCACATCACTGTCCTCTTCTATTCTAGCCTCGCTAGAACTTGGAGTTGGGAAAGTCATCCCCACATCTCGAGTGTGTTTTTTGACACCATTCACAATCTCTAAGTTACCTGAGGAAAAAGATCCACAGATATTCTGGGAGTAGCCTTGAGACTTAGTTGACATGTGTATTCAATTCAGTAAATGAAAACTGTAAGCCTTCAAAAATGCAGGCCTCCTCTGGGTGGTGTGGAGGGGTGAGTGCGAGAGAGACAGAGAGGAGGGGAGGGAGAAAAAGAGAGGGAAGAAGGCAAGGAAGAAAAAAAGAAGGTTTTTACTTCTAAGTCAATTTAGATATTAGAGGGAAAAAAAACAACTAACATGGATTCAATGGGTAAAGGTTTCAGTTCTTTTTTTTTTTTAAGATTTATTTTAATTTATTTGACAAAGACAAAGACAGAGAGAGAGAGAGAGAGAGAGAGAGAGCATGTGTGCGCATAAGTAGGGGGAGTGGGAGAGGGAGAAGCAGGCTACCCACTGAGCAGGGAGCCCAATGCAGGACTCAATCCCAGGACCCTAGGATCATGACTGAGCTGAAGGCAGACACTTAATCGACTGAGTCACCAAGGGGCCCCAGGATTTCAGTTCTGATCCCAAGTGAGAAAGATAGCTAATGCTTATAGTCCTACTGGCAGTCACCCAGGTAAGGAAGAGGCTGACAGATATTAAGTCAAGACTTGAGGGGAAAAAAAAAAATCAAGGGCAACGTTTATTTTTGCTGTATAAAATCAGAAGATATAGAAAAAAAGTGAAAAGCCTCCTTCACATTCCTGTTTTCCATTCATTCAGTTTGTAATCCCATGGTTCCAGAGAATTTTTTGCACACATTCAAGCAACTATCTTCCTTTATTTTTAAAGTACTTTGCTTTTCCTTTTTAATTATCAGTGTTGGAGATCCTGTCATTTTAGTAGAGAGTGAGTGTCCTTACACTATGCTTCATGATATGGACATATGATAATCTATTTAAGCAGCTGGCTATTGATGGATATCTAAGTCGATTTAAATTTTCAGCTATAATAAACACTACTTCAGGGGCGCCTGGGTGGCTCAGTGGGTTAAAGCCTCTGCCTTCAGCTCAGGTCATGATCCTAGGGTCCTCGGATCGAGCCCCGTGTCGGGCTCTCTGCTCAGCAGGGAGCCTGCTTCCTCCTCTCTGCCTGCCTCTCTGCCTGCTTGTGATCTCTGTCAAATAAATAAATAAATAAAATCTGAAAAAAAAAAAAAAAACAACAAACCCTCTACTTCAATGATTAATTCTGTACACTTGTCATTTTGCACATAGGCAAAACATACCTATAGGCTAAATTCCAAAAGTAAAAGTGCCAGGTCAAAGTAATTTTGATTGAAATTGCCAAATTGTCTGTAGGATTGTATTCTCAACCAGAACATATGAGTACCTACTTCTTTACACTTGTGCCCACAAACTTACTACCAGATCTAGATTTCTGCTAGTCTGATAGATGAAAAATGGCATTTGAGTATAGTTTTAATCTTCATTTTGTTTTGAGGCTGAGTATCTTAACATATGTTAAAGATCTACTGGTATTTTAACAGAAATGTTTAAATACCAAAATTTACCTGCTTGTATGCTCTTGTTTAACATTTGTACATTTTGCTTGTTGCCAAGGGTAGAGCTTGAGCTCCAGAAACTACTGGTAGAAGATGAAACAGAATCAGAAGAAATCACATGGTCTGGCACCTGGAAAAACAAAGGAGACCCTGTTACTACCTGCAGTCAATTGTACAGTCACCCACAGGATAAGAAAACATACAAGTTACCAAGAGCAATTTTTCACTGGATTCCATTTGTTGAGATCAAATGGCCAGGAAGCTTGTGACAATGGGAACATTTTCCAGCACCGTTTATAACTGGGAGAGGAAAGCTGCTGCTGTTGGATAAGGGCTTGCAATGTATTAAGAAGGGAAGACATGTTGGCTAACTGAACATAAGAAATGAATAAATAGATAGATAATAAACAATGACTCTGAAAACTCAAAAAAAAAAGATAAAGAAAAAGAAAAAGAAAAAGAAGGGAAGACATCAAGACTGAGTATGTTCATGGGACTTGAAAAAACTGAGGAAGATGCTAGCCAAAGATTAGGGTGGTGGGTCTTCAGAATGAAATTTTGATGAGAGATAAAGAGGGCTAGGAATGACTAAAGGTGGTGGGGAGAGGTGCAGAGGGTGCTCTCTAGTAAGATCAGACTCAGAAACTTACACACAGGTACATACAAAGAGGTGAAAGGCCCCACGGGAAGCCCCAAGGGACTAGAGTATTTCAAAAATTATTAAAGAAACCAAAAGGGCTTTATAATTATGTTCAGAGCAACTAGAGCGAAGAAGGGCAACTTCATGGATTGAAGTTGATGGTGGAATGTTAAGTGAAAGACAAAAAGATGATCAAAATGTAGTATGAAACAGTATTTCTTAAACTTGTTCATTACAACAATCTCCTGGGGGATTTCTCATTGTCCTAACCCAGGACAACGAGGTGGCATCTCTAGGGGAGGGGTATGGGCATTTATATTTTTTATAAATGCCAGGTACTTGTCTACTTAAGCAAGTTTGGTAAAGGTGAACTGAAGGCCAAGTTAGGAAAGGAAACTAAGAATGTCCGATCCCTGAACTAGATAAACTATATTCCAGGGCCCTCAGGAAACTGAGAGTTTCTTTTAGAAACTTGATACCTGGAGACAAGAAATGTTTTACCTTTCAAAAAGATAAGCATTGCAAACTGGATTTAACAATGACAACACGTAAAACTCTAGACTGGAACACCAATCTAACAATCTGCGAGCGTCTGGAGGCCAAAGAAAAGATGAGCACATTTCAGCCAGGGCTCAGGAAGGCAGGCGGAATGAGCCCTGCCCGGTTAGCCTGGTTTCTTCTAGTAGATGTGGTCACTAACTGGTCAGCCAAAAGAATGTGTAGTTGAGTACAATTAGATTTCAATAAAATGACAAAACTTCTCATGACATCTTTGAGGGCAAGATGGGAGTTATGTGGGTTAAATGACAAAATAAGTTGGTAGAACTGTAACTGGTTGAACCACTCTTACCAAACATTAATAACACAGAGAGGCCTTTTATGAGTGCATTTCTTGGATCCAACAGCAAGTATTTACTAAGCACTAAACACTAAGTGTCCAGTTACTTGGTTTGCTCTGGCTATTCCTTTTCACCATTTCATATATGTGTCTTGGAGATATGGGAAGCAGGTGATTTCTCGTATGATCCATATCTGGGAGGGCCTAAATGACTGTCAAGATCCAAAATAATAAACAGGAATGATGCCAAATCAAACAAGGGGTAATTGTAAAGCCCTACATGTTAGGCAGGGGGAATGGCGGTAACTTTGACACAGTAGAAAAAGCTCTGTGTCTGGAGTCCCAAGACTTAAGTCGATCTCAGATCCTCCCTTCACTAGCTATCTGTACCTGAGAACACTCTCTGTGCCAGTCTCCCCAGCTCCATAAGGGAGTACCTGCATCTCTGAAAGTACAGAAGTGTTAGAAAGAACGAACGATTGAGATTATAAACTGCAAAAAACTAACATAAAACTAGGAGACTACTGTGATGTTAAAAAACCCCAAATGTATGAGGCTAGGGAAGGTGGTGAGGAAGACAGGCCCGACTGGTCTGCAGCTGTAAGAGGAGGAAGCACGTTAGGGACTGAAAGGGACTGACTTTCAGGATAGACTGTTAAGTATAAAAAGCAAAGCTGCCAGTTTGTGAGAAAAAAGACACATGCAGGGTTTGCTTTCTTAGTGATAAAACACCTGTGAAGGAAAACAACCCAGATTGGAAAGGAAGAAGTACAACTCTTTTTATTTGCAAATGACATGATCCTGTTCATAGAAAATACTAAGGAATCCATAAAGAAGTATTAACTATAAACTATATTAACTATAAACTAGTAAGTTTAGCCAGATTGCAGATATAAAATCGAGAAGATAAAACCCAAATATATGTATTTTTTTTATCTTTTCAATATATATAAAATATATATATATATTTTAAATTTTATTTATTTGAAGAGGAGGGGGAGAGAGAGTGCGTGCACAAGCATGGGGTAGGGGTAGAGGGAGAAGCAGACTCCCCGCTGAGCATGGAGCCTGACCCAGGACCCTGAGATCATGATCTGAGCTGAAAGCAAGAGTCAGATGCTTAACTGACTGAGCTACCCAGGTGCCCCCCTCCAAATCAACCGTATTTCTATATTCTAGCAATAAACAGTCTGAAAATAAAATTATGGAAACAATTCCATTCACAACAGCATCAAAAAGAATGGAATATTCAGGAATAAAGTTAACAAAAGAAGTGCAAAGCTTGCAGACTGAAAAATGCAAAATATTGGTGGAAGAAATTCAAGATCTAAATACATACTGAGACATTCCACATATGTAATTTAAAAATGGGCTTAAAGGGCGCCTGGATGGCTCACTCTGTTGAACATCCGACTCTTGATTGCAGCTCAGGTCATGATCTCAGAGTCCTGAGATTGATCCCCGTGTCAGGCTCTGCTCTGGGCGTGGAGCTGCTAAGATTCTCTCTCTCCCTCTGCTCCCCCCGCCCCGTTCTCTTTAAAAAAAAAAAGAAGGATGAATTCTATGGTATATAAATTATACTTCAATAGAGCTGTTTTAAAAATCTCTGTGAAGATGTGCAAGAACTAATGACACTGAGTAGCTCTGGAAAGGAGCGCTATGTGCCTGGGGAACAGGAGTGGGAAGGATGTCCTGTATCAAATACTCTTTATACATTTCCAGTTTTATATGATGTGGTTGAACTCCCATTTAAGAAGTGAAAATAAAAACATACAGGAAAGAGTGCCGCTAAAGAGGCTTTGTGGCTCTGGTGAGCTCAACAGAAGGAAAACGTATGTTAGGCCAAAGAAATGTTCTAGCCACCAAAGGGAAGGTGATAAATCCGCTGTCAACACGCTCTCACATTTGAAGCACAACACACTTAGTTCGGAGACATGTTTAAAAATAAGGTACCGGCAAACTTAATAGACCCAGGAAAGCTACCAGTTTCTAGGAAAGGGGAGTAGAAAGCATGAGCTGTGAAAAATGGTTCAGAGTGAAGACCTGAGAGGAAACACTTCCAGGAAGTGGGAACCCAAGAGGAAGACTGGACCTACTTCCTGCGCCTTTTGAAAGCAGAGCTGGGGACAGAGCTTTGCCAGGGAGTGCAATGACTGCACATCTTGGATCTCTAGAGGGTAAGACCTTCGATAACAGAGCCTCAGACACACGAATGAGTTGCCCGTGAGCAGGGAGGCAATGGTGGGGCTCTGCAAGCAGAGCCTTAAGGGCCTTGTGGTGCACACGCAGTGGAAATGACGCTCGCTTCCAAGCCCGAGTCCCCTGAACATCCCAGGGGTACAGCCAATCAGGGTATGCACCACTGGGGGTGAAAAACAGATGTCTACATCTGATTCAAGGAAGGGCTTTGGGGTGTGTGTGTGTTTCTATTTCTAGTTCGAATCTCTTTCGGATTAATTCTTGCCTATAAAACGTCACAAACATTTAAAAATAGAAAAGAGTCTAAAAATAAATTCCTTCATAATAAAATATATTTAGTTAGCCCTCTAGGATGGTGAAAACCCAAAGGACAGACAAAGACAAGGGTTTTCAAGGATGTGCAGAAGCTGGAGCCTTCACACTCTGCTGGTGGAAATGCAAAATGGTGACAGTACTTTGGGTAACAGCGGGCAGTTCCTCAGATGGTTTAATGTGGAGTTAGCATACGCTCCTGCATATATCTGCTCCCAGGCATCTGCCCAAAGAAATGAGTACATACATCCACACAAAACTTGAAAGGACTGTTCCCAGCAGACTTGTTAAGAATAGCCAAAAAAGTAGAAGAAATCCAGGCGTCTGCTGACCACTGAGTGGATAAATGAACTATGTAACGGAGTATTTGGCAATAAAAAGGAATGAACACACTGCTACAAAGTAGATGAACCTTGAAAACATTGAGAGAAGTTAAGTCACAAAAGATCACATACTGTAAGATTCCATGTATACGCAATGTCCAGAAGCAGAAAATCCACAGAAACAGGAAGTAGATTAATAACCACAGCCTGGGGCTGGGGCAGGGGTGAGAGGCAGGGAGAAATGCAGAGGGACTTTGCTAATGTGTACAGGGTGTTTTTGTTTTGTTTTGTTTTAAAGACTTTATTTATTTACCACAAAGAAACAGCAAGAGAGGGAACACAAGTAGTGGGAGTGGGAGAGAGAGAAGCAGGCTTCCCGCTGAGCAGGGAGCCCGATGTTGGGCTCAATCCCAGAACCCTGGGATCATGACCTGAGCTGAAGACAGACGCTTAACAACTGAACCACCAAGTACTGGGTGTTTTTAGGGGGCGTGGGAAATGTTTAATATTAGATTGGGAGGGTGGTTGCACAACTCTGTGAATAATATTAAAACCCACTAAACTGCAGACTTTAGGTGAATTTTATGGTATGTGAAAAATCTCAAAAAAGCTGTAAAAATGTGTTTATTTATTATGCAAACAAATAATGGAGGTAAAGACTTATTTGGAGAACAAAATTTATGTTCTGTGGTCCTACATCTCCTGTTAAGTGAAATAAGAACAGTGGAAGCGGGCCAAAGTGTCACGTTCATATAATAAAGCATGAACAATCCCCAAAAAACGTGGGCCCTGGATGTTGTTGGTATGACATAGCACTA